CAAAGCCTTTATTCATATGTAACTTTTAATGTATGTAAGAGAATTGCTGGAGAGAAATCATACAAATATGAAAAATATAGCACAAATTGTTATTTAAAAGTTACTGGATATTTTTACTTAATGAGTAGAAAGAAGTAACCCTTACAAATACTAAAAATTAGTGCAGTCCCTCATCTTTGAGGGACAAAAAATTTATGATAAACCTATGTTTACTATACAGTCTGTTTTTAAAACTGGATGAACAACAATTCTGGCACACATCATTGCATCAGAACAAGACTTTCCTGACACTTTACACTGTATTTTTCCCAGAGAAAATACATTGGATCTTGAAAAAATTCCTTGAGGTTATATGTAAAATTTAGTTTTTTAGTGAGTGAAAGTAACTGGTTTTTAATGTGTTAAAACTGTTGAGTATTGAATGACAGAAACTGCTCTGACCTGGGCTTGGATATCCCATAATATCATTCCTACTATCCTCTATTGGTGGAAGCAATAATTAGAGTCAAAATTATAATTACAGTCAAAAGAGGAGGACAAAGACACCACCATTTAGTAAGAAGAATGTCAAAGAATATTTCTTTTGAGACTGAATCTCACTATGCAGTTCAGGCTGGCCTTGAGCTCACTTTGTAGCCCAGGCTGGTCTTGCAATGATCCTCCTGCTTCAGCCTCTTGAGTGCTTACAGGCATATGCCACTACACCTGGCATGTCAGAGAATTTGAGGTCCTGCTTCTAAATCACCATATTTTGGTGATCTCTCGTTCTGTATATTCATCTTTTGGAAATCTATTTCTAATCTCTCTTTTGGATTTGATGACTACAAATTTTTTAAACTTAATATCGATTCATCATTTTAATCCTGGTTTTTAATACTTCCTTCAGCATCACTGACAGCTTTGGTATGAGGTTCTTTCTATTTTCATGCATCTACAGAATGCTGAGTAGCTAGATTATGCCCTTAGCCCTGTTTAAAGATAAAGATTATATACAGTAGAACTAGGACCAGGGTTTGTTGGAATACTTGTCCCATCGTAAAGCTGTCTATATAGTGAATGGTGCTATTACTAACAATAAGCAGGCAGTTGTTATTCCTATACTTTCAAGAGATTCAGTGGTTGATGGTTCACAACACCGTTAGCTTAACAGCGTGGTACTATATTGTTACCACCATATTGTTAATTCATAATTTTTGGTATGTTACATCTCCATTTTTATTTGTCTCATGATTTTTAAAACTTTTCCTTCTGATTTCTTCAATTCATTGGATGCTCAGGAATATGTTGTTTGAACTGTACATATTTGAATTTTCCAGATTTCTTTTTGTTACTGATTTTCTTGTTTTACATTATTGTGGTCAGAAAAGATGATGTTGTTGGTATTTGTTTTATGGCTTAACATACGATCTGTTCTTTGGTAGAAAACAGGGAGGTAGAGTTTTTGGAGATGAGGAAGGAAAGAGAGAAAAGGGAGGTGAAAATACTAATAAAAACACATATTGTTTATTCAGGAAAATGTTCCTTAGGAGTTAAGAAGACTATGTGTTCTGCTGATGTTGTATGAAATGTTTGATCAACACCTATTTAGTATATTTGGTCTATTATGTTATACAGGTCAATTGTTTCCTTCTGATGTTTGTCTAAATGAGCTATCCATTGTTAAATATGGGAACAGAATTGCCACTATTATATTGCTATTTCTCCTTTAGTTGTATTATTATTCACTTCATAAATTTAGGCCCTTCACGTTAGTTCCATGTAGATTTATAATTGTTATGTTTTGATAAACTGATCCATTTGTCATTATACAGTGGCTGTCTATATCTCTGATGACAGATTTTGACTGAAAGCATATTGTCTAATCTATACAGAGGCACTCCTGCTCTCTTGATTATCACTTAGACAAAATATCTTTTCATTCCTTTAGTTTCAGTCATGTATGTCATGGTTATCATAAGGCAGATATTACTTAAACTTTTTTAAAAAGCCATTCATCTTTTTTGTGTCTTTTGATTGATTAATTTAATCCATTTGTACTTTAGGTAGCTATTGATAGATAAAAGCTAACTCTTTGTTATTTTGTTATTCTTTCTGACTCTTTATAGTTCCTTTTCCCTCTGTTCCTTGGTATTTGGAGATTTTTAATTTATTTTTCAGGAGGTTCACAGGTCTCTTTTTAAAGTGTCAGGTATTAGTTTTATCAATTCCCTCTGATGGTATCATGTTTGCCTGATTTTTAGTGATTTGTATAGCTGTGTGATAATGTCTGTGAATTTGAAGGAATAAATGCTTCTATCAGTCTTTACACAGTAGTTTAGGCTGGTAAAGACCTTCCCTTGTTGGGTCTTACATCTGATGGCAATGCCTCTGGAGTCACAATCAGGCAGGGAAAGAGCTAGGTATTGCGACAGCAATGTGTTTTTGTTCTCCTCCTAGGCAAACTCTCTGAGCCTATGAACTAGATACAGGGATGGAAATACCAGGCTGGCTAGAGTAGCATCCATGTTATATGGATGAGAGTACAGGGTGGAAGTGGAGTCTAGATCTCAGTTTGTATTCTCCCAAATGCAACTTCCACCCTATCAGTAAGATTGGAAAAGACAATCAGAACCCCAGTATTCTTGGCCTGCCATGCTTGGGGAAAAGTCTCTGCACTATGAATGGGAGCTAGGTGGAAGAAGGAAGCCTATCTTTTGGCCACATTTGTGAAGAATTTAGCCTCTGCAACTCAAAACCAAGGGAAAGAGAGTTTCCTGCTCATCACGATGAGATACTGTATCTCTAAACTGGGAACTGAATGAGGCCAGAGAAAGCTTCATTTTCCTGGTCACATCCATCCAGAGTGGAGATTTCTTTACCCTTCAGTAGAGGCAGCGAGGAGGGAAGAGTTATATTTCAAACATTACAGATGCCTTTTAAGCAATATTTAAAGGATTTTCTTGAATACATATTTTTTTCTTGCTATCATACTTAATAAAATTTCCAGAGACTTTAAACGTTTGTTTTAAAAATAATGTTGAGCAGTTATAGGTGTTTAATTGATCCATGAAGCTGCCTCACATGCAGTGTGGAAGTGGGACTCCATTTTATTTTAAAAAATTTGAGTAAGTAGTTGACAAACTTTCAGCTAAAACATTTTTGGCTTTTTGTGATAGATGATCTCTTGCAGTTATTCAGTTGTGCAGTGATTGTCCAAAGGCAGCCAGATACATAAATAAATGAGCATGACCGTGTTTCAGTATAAAAACAGATAGTGAGCTAGGTTGGTTCAGATTGCCTCTCCTCCTTTAGATCAACAGAACAAAATATAGGTAGAAAACTTGATTATAATGACATAATTATCAGTTGTACTCAAAGAAAACACAATGAGCCAGACATGGTGGTACATGCCCGAAACTTCAGTTATTGGGGCAGGAAGACCACAAGTTTAAGGTCAGCCTGAATAACAAAACAAAATTAAAGAAAAGAAGACAAAAAAAGAAAGACTTCTCGTATTAATTTAATATGTAGGAATTAATACCATAAGGAATTAATACTGTAAAATGTCCATTCTACATGATTTGTATATTCAATACAATCTCTACTAATATGTCAATGATGTCCTGCACAGAACTAGAAAAAAAAACTCCTAAACTCATATGGAAGGATCCTAATAGGTTCCTGATAGTCAAAGAAATCTTGACTAAAGAGTAAACATGGAAGTATCACAATATCCAATTTCAAAACATGTTTCAAAGCTATAGTAACTAAGACAATATGATGGTGGCATGAAAACAGATACATAAGCTAATGGAGTGGAATACGGACCCCAGAAATAAACTACACATTTATCTATAGCTAACTAATTCTCAACCAAGAGGCCAAAAATGTACATTAGAGAAAGGGCAGCCACTTCAGTAAATGATACTGGGAAAACTGAATAGCCATGTGAAAAGATTTAAACTTGATCCTTGTACAAATATCAACTCTAAATGGACCAAAAACTTAAACATAAGACCCAAAAGTCTAAAACTATTAGGAAAAAAACACGCAAAAAAAACCACTTCAAAACAACAGTTAAACGGGCAGGGGTTTAGCTCAGTGGCACAAGGGCCTGCTCAGGAAGCACAAGGTCCTAAGTTTGATCACTAGTACAAAAAAAAAGTTTCAAATTCCTTGTCTGTAATCCTAGCATTCGGGAGCAGGTGGATCATTGCAAGTTTGAGACCAGCTTGGGCTACAAAGTGAGCTCAAGGCCAGCCTGAACTGCATAGTGAGACCCTTTCTCAAAAGACCAAAAAAAAAAAAAAAAAAAAAAAAAATCAAAACAAAACAAAACAAAAAAACCCAAAAAACCTCAAATTCCTTGCTGGTGTGATGGCACACTCCTGTAATCCCAGCATTTGGGAAACTGAGGTAGGTGGATCATTACAAGCTTGAGACTACCCTGGGCTACAAAGTGAGCTGAAGGCCAGCCTGAACTGCACAGTGAGACCCTGTCTCAAAAGATAAAAAACAAAACAAAACAAAAAAGGCAATAGCCAATGATTTCTTTAGATATGACCACAAAAGTACAAACAGCAAGAGCTAAAATAGACAAATTGGGTTAGATCAGACTAAGAATCTTATGCACAGCAAAAGAAACCTTCAACAGAGTAAAAAAGGCAACCTATAGAATAGCAGAAAATAATCTGCAAACTATTCATCTGACAAAGAATTCAGCACCCTTATATATCTGGAATATAAAAGGAATTCCAGAAACATAACAAAATCTAATTTAAAATGGGCAAATGGACCAGGTATGGTGGCACACATCTGTAATCCCAGCACTTAGGAGGCTGAGGCAGGAGGATCCCCACGAGTTCAAGGCCAGCCTGGGCTACAAAGTGAGTTCAAGGCCAGCCTGGACCAAACAAAAACAAAAACAAACAAACGAAAATAATAAAAATGGGCAAATGATCTGAATAGACATTTCTCAAAAGAATTAATACCAACAGACGATACATCATATTAAGAATGCTGTGCTTGTTTCAGCAGCATGTATACTAAAATTGGAGTGATACAGAGAAGATTAGCATGGCCTCTGAGCAAGGAGGACATGCAAATTCATAAAGTGCCCCATATTTTTAGAGAAGTCAGTGCCTCCTGAGAATCAGCCATGCCAGGACTGGGAGGACCCACCAAGAAGCCAACTAGCCAGCCTTTCTAGTAAGCTGCACAAGTTGTGTGGGTGCCAGGCACAGAAAAGTCAGTAGCACCTCCCGTGAGCCTACTGGTGTGTGGGCTGAGAATCAAGCCTCACCCCCACCCCCATCCCCACCCCCAGTGAGCATTCGCTGGTTTGGAGGACAGGCGGAGTTAGCAACTAACCTATATAAATCAACTAAATGCTTGCATTGTTTGGTTGATTTTGCAGGCCTAGTGCTGGTGGTCTGAGCCTCTCTTGGGAGGATGACAGCATTCAATATAGCAAATATGGGGATTTCCTTCTATCTTGTCTTTGAAATCCAGTATTGTTTTCACTGTTTTGCTCTGCTTTGATTGGTTTTATTCTGTTTTGTTTTTGGTTTGATTTTGCTATACCTGATGGAATAGACAACTATTCTGAAGATAACATGATATACTATGATAGCTATTGTTGTTTTCCTCTGCCTTGAAGTTCTATATCAATTTTGTTGCTTTGTTTTGATTGGCTTTGTTCTGTTTTGTTTTGTTGGATTTTACTATCTTTAAAATAAAAAATAAATAAAATAAAAATGATAAATGTCATTAGCCATTAGGAAAGTTTAAATCAAAGCCATTGTGCTATATCATCTTATCCCAGTCAGAATGTTCATTATCAAAAAAGACAAGAAATGTTTGTGAGGACATAGATAAAAGGAAATTCACACATTAGTGGGAGAATAAGTTAATGTCATATGGAAAACAATCTAAAGGTTCTTTAAAAACTAAAAATAGATGTATTTAGGATGCAGCAATCCTACCTTGGGTATATATCCAAAGTAACTGAAATCATACCAAAGAGATACCTGTATTTTATTTAAGCAACATTTACAACTGCTACAGTATGGAATCAACCTAGGTATCTACTGGCAGATGAATGGATAAAAAAATGTGGCTTATACACACAATACAATATTATTCAGCCATTAAGAATAAAATCCTAAAAAAAAAAAAATCAAAAGAAGAGTAAATCTCGGGCCATGCAGTGCCGGGAAGAGAAACAAGAAGCCAATTCACCCTTACTGTGAGCCAGCTGGTGTGTGGGCTGGGACACAGGAAGAGCCCCTCCCCCAAGCAAACAGCTGATTCGGAGGATCATAGACTGAGCTGATGGCAAATGAGGTACAAAAACAGCTTAATTCTTGTATTGTTTGATTGACTTTCAAGGCTTAAAGCCAGTAATCTGAGCATCTCTTTAGAGGATAATAATATGTACTGTAGCAACTATGGGGGATTTCCTTCTGTCTTGTTTTTGAAATCAGATATTGTTCTCACTGTTTTGTTTTGTTTTGTTCTATTTGTTTTGTTTTCTTCAGTGTTCTGTTTTGATAGGCTTTATTTGGTTCTGTTTGATTTTATGATGTCTGATGATATGAGCAATAATTTTGAAGATAACAAGAGGCATTATAGTAACCATTGTTGATTTCCTATTATCCTGTTTTGAAGTCCTGTATTGCTTTCCCTGTCTTCTTTTGATTGTTTTATTGTTTTATTTTGTTTGGTTTTATTCTCTTTAAAATAAAATTTTAAAAAAAGAATAAAATCCTGTCATTTGCTGCAAAATTTATGAAGCTGGAAGACATTATGTTAAATAAGGTGGACACAGAAAGACAAATATAACATGATTTCTCCAAATGTACAATAGTGATTGCTGGGGACAAAAAGGATATGTGAGGGACAGAATAGAGGGATGTTAGATAAGGGTTTCCAAAACACAGAAGAATAAGTTCTAATGTGCCATACCACAGTAGGTTGATGAAAGTTCACGAGAGCCTATTATCTATCTAATGAAGAACCTGAACAGAGGAGCTCAAAGTCTCCAGACATAGAGAAATGATGAGGGAGATGCTAAGTGCACTAATTTGATCAGTGCATGCTGTTGCATGTGCTGAAATATGATACTGTATTGACATATGCAATGATTACATATTAAAAATTAAATTTAAAGAATTAGAACATTTAAAAATATTATTAAAAGAACTAGTATACAAGAAAATTTTTTAAAAGAAAACTACTATCAATCTTCTCTGCAGAGAGCTTAGAAATAGCTATGCACTGTCCATTTCTTCTCCTAAATGTACTAATTAGTTAAGAACTCCTCCCATAGGTAACGGAGAAAAGGAGAGAAGGGCCAAAAATATTATACCAGAATTATTATTTTAGCTGAAGTCTTATATGGAAACATGAAACTAGAGTAAGAGCATACTCCTCAGAATGGCTACCTAACTTAGAAGACAGCATTTTCCTTTAGTACTTAGACATCTAAATTACAGAGAAAAAAATTTATGGTAACTACCTTTATTATGTGTTCTCATTTAATTAACAGAGACTTAGTCTTTAATTTGCATTTTGATTGTGGGCTTACTCAAATTTTTATTGAAATAAGTGCTAAAATTAAAAAGGTTAACACTTACTTGCATTGTGTTGTGAATTTATTTGTGCTTTTATGTTTTCTACTTTTTTCTAGTCAGTGAACTAAAGACGGCTTTCAAAGCACTCCCAAATGAACTTTGCTCTTTGTATATAGCCTCATGAGATGATTAAGAAGGCATCAAGGTTCTATTGAATCTAATACCATGTTTTGCCAACACTGGGCTTTTTTTATTAGTAAAATTTAGGTACACATAATGACCACATTCATTATAGGAATTTGTGTCTCTACATGATATATCTTGATTTCTCTTCCTTTTTTCCCATTTCCATCCCTTCTTTTCAAGCCACCTTCCCCTCCCTGTCTACAAAGGTCAGTTTTCATTTTATGTTTTTCTCAACTTTTCTTTTCCTTTCTTTCTTTCTCCTCCTATTTCTTTTTCCTTTTGAACAGTTTCTTCCTATTTTGCAATATATATTGTACATTTATATTCTTATTTACATTTTCAGTTTCTCACACCAGAGGAATAATGAGATATTTACACAGGTATGCTCAATTTACTTCACTTAGGATTATGGTCTCAAGGTCCATCCATCTAGCAATAAATCGGAGCTTCAGTGGCACACTTGATTAGTGTGTGCCACTTACACATTTAGCAATACATGTCTCAATTTTATCTTTCTTTATGGCTAATGTTCCTTTACATTTAAAAACACATCTTTTTTATCCATTCATTAGTTGATGGTCATTTGGGTTGCTTCTAAGATTTAGCTAACACAAACCGTGCTGCTATAAATGTGGGTGTGCATATACCACTGTGGTATGCTTTTCTGGGCGACACTCAGAAAAGAAATAGCTAGGTATGGGACTGCTAATCATAGTTTTTTGAGGTGTTCCCCCCAGTGGTTGCACTAGCTTACACTCCACCAACAGTGGAGAAGTGTTCTTTTTCGCCCAATAACCACTTCAGCATTTGGTATCTCATCTTATTAAAAAGCTTTTGTACAGCAAAAGAAATCACCAACAGAGTGAAAAGACAACCTGCAGAGTGGGAAAAAATTTATCCCAACTGTCTTTCAGATGAAGGACTATATCTACAACATATAAAGAGCTGAAAAATGTCTGACCATCAAAATTCAAAGACCCAATCTAAAAATGGACATTTGAGATGAATAGACACTTCTCAGACAAAGAAATACAAATAGTACACAAATATGACCGGCGCAGCTCCAATGAAACAGGAGATGCTCTTGTGGGCGACAGTTAACTGCTGCTTTATTCACGTGGGCTCTGGTTTATATATTTGGCCATGACCAATCACAGGCTGCCATGAGGAAGCAGGGCGGGAATGGGATGCAGGCTATGGCTACTATATCCAGCTGTGGCCAATCAGGAGTTGCCACAGAGTACGGAGTGAGCACGAAGTGCGCACGGGTTGGCTAATTTAAAGAGGGACGTAGCGCATTGCGGAAGCTGGTGTGGTCCTTAGTCCTGGGTGGGGTATGGTATGTTGAGTGCCTGCGCCCAACACAAATATATGAAAAAATGTACAGCATCAATGATCACTTGAGAAATGCAAATTAAAACAATGCTGAGATTCCATCTTACTTCAGAAAGAATGAATATTATTAAGAAAACAAGTAATAACAAACGCTGACAGAGCTGTGTGGAAAAAGGAACACTGGACTTTACTCCACACAATACAATGCATAAGCACTTTGATGATACTGTTATTAACTTTTTCTTATTTGGAATAATATTTTTTGTTTTTTTAAATCAAAATGCTTCTTAGTTTATTGTCACCTAGGTCATAATTTCCAATGTCGTTCATGTTTTTTGCCTTTCAAGTGTGATTTATTTTACAGTAAGAAAAAACATGCAACATAATATTGCCATCTTAACTATTTTCAAGTGTACTATTCAGATGTGTTAAGTATATTCACAGTGACGTAAAACAAATATTCAGAACTTTTCTATCATGTAGATCTGAACAAATTTCTGTTTCCCTTCTCCCACTCTCTATTATTATCAACTATTCTACTTTACGTTTCTATGAATTAATTACTTTAGGTACCTCATTTAAACAAAATCATACAGTATTTGTCTTTTTGTGGCTAATTTTTTTAGCATAAGTTTCATCCATGTTGTAGCATGAGACATGATATTCTTTCTTTTTAAGGTCCAATGTGATTCTTACTGTGTTAGCTTCTGGTAAGCACCTACACAGAATCACCATGTACAACTTTATGTCTGTAACTGGGTATGTTTTTCTCATGCTAGCATTTTTAAATTTTACTACTTTTTGCCTTTGTAAATGTTAATTTAAAAAACTAAACAAAAAGGTAGAGGGCATGTTGTCTTAAACATTAATAGTGATGCTCTGCAGATTTTAGAAAATATTTTTAAGTCATTATCTAATGAATTTACCAGTATGGCTAAACTCAAAATTGAGTTCATACAGGGTTGGGGATGTAGCTCAGAAGAAAACTGCTTGCCTTGCATGCACAGGGCCCTGAGTTCGAAACCCAGTATCA